AAACACAGCCGGGAACCCTGCTGGATTTTTACTGAGGAACAAACCTCTTATTTATCAGACACTGGCTGCAATTGCATGTAAGGTCAGTAGACTTGACTAAAAATATAAGAGGAAATGGTCAATTCTGAGATTCTTGCTATAACTACATGATTTCATTGAATGATTTTGTATGAAACCAAAATCCCTTTAATGCAAGGCAATTCAGTGACTGGCTATCCTGGAAACGTCCCTGTAAGCAACTTTGTCAAGATTAGATTTTTTGAATATATATATATATATATATATATGAAGAGCTCTTTTCCAAAACGCTATAAATCCATTTCAATAGTTTTCAGGAAAACTACATTTTTTACCTAGACCCACACATTTTGTGAATATTCAAATTATCCTGTTTAAATGTTTTATTGGTTCAGTCTGAACATTTTGAACAATAATTATTAAATCAAACAACAATATTGTTAATGATAATTTAAAAGTTAATTTTATTTTTTCCCAAAACGCTATAAATCGAAATAAACCTCAAACAAATAGTACCAATTTCAACATATGCATGAAAAAAACAAATTATTAAAAATGATCAATATATGATAACGATATTCAAAAAAGGGATGGGCACCCCTCCAGCACATGCACACACACACGCAGGCTACATAACATGTGAGCAAAGCGGAGCAGCATGACGCTTAAATATAAGTAAAAAAAAAACAAAAAAACAAAATAAACATTTCACATTTGTTTTTAATAATATTACATTACTTATTTTTATTATTTCATCTATGTTGAGTAGGCTATGAAAAGGGAACCGCATGAGATGAGTAAGATAGGATCAAAATTCAAAAGCTGCCCAATATCGGAAAATATTTGGAGTGCGTCAGACATGATTTTGACCACTTATTAAGTTTTGTTTTGTAGAAAGCTTGTAAATTTCGTTTCATATAAATTGTATCTTCATTTTAATAAATGTTTCATCGACAAATTGACTGGATTAATACATTAGAAGTAAATATCAGACAATATAATCAGGACACAGAGGCGCGCAGGTGAACCGGAGCGCGTCTCATAATATGAACCGAAACACCGCGATGCTTGCCTCACACAGGCCTGAGAACTAAGCTACAGAAAGCTTTAAATATCTACTTTTAAACAAAACAATTAAAAACTAAAATAAATTGGCAACTCTCTGCGTATGTAGGCTAATTCGAAGTATGCGTTTCTCTGCGCGTTCACTGCGAAGATGGCGAGTAAGCATCATCAACTTTATCTTTGTTGCTGACACTGACAGAAAACACTAGTTTATTAATAAACAATTCAAATGTTTCATGCATAATCATTACTTTTGCCGGTTCTTTGTGGCAAGCTTTATGCATACGTTGAGATGCGGAATATGCAATTAAAAACGCTCATATGGTTTCTCTCCCATTTAATTAAATCAATATATATATGTGATTACTGATAATACAAATGGCTTAAATGATCTACTACTAGTCGACTAGAAAACTAGGACTCATTTTGAGGAATAAATGAACATAATAAACCTCTGTTCAGAGTGCCGCCGTGCTGGATTGTGTAGAGCGCTCATTGAATTTGAGGATTTATCGTGTTTAGGCTAAAAACAGGGCTGGCGCTTATCGTGGTTTGGAAAGAAACTGTATCTTGCAGTACATTTTAAACAAGGAAATATAGTGATTCGGCATGAAACGTTGATAGAGCAGTGAAAGGGTTCTGTCCGCAGCAGAATGACACGACAAACTCATTTTTTTTAAAAATGTCGTTTAACGCGTTTTGGAAAAGAGCTCTTCATATATATATATATATATATATATATATATATATATATATTTCTTCTCATTAATAGCCTACTTTGAGAACAGTGGTAGGCCTAACAAAAATGTTGATTTGTCCAATTTAAAATGATTGTAAAAATCATTTTGAATTATAGTAAAAATCAACAACAACTGTCAATTGGTGTCACGGTTATGTTTTGAGTTTCTGTTGTTGACTTTTTTATTATCTGCTATGTTTTAAAGCTATATCAGTCTAAACTAACTGATTTATGGTTTTCTGAGTGCACAGAAAACTGGATGTCAGAATGCGTCCCGTGAATATTAAAGTTCTCTTTATGTTGTAGAGTATATCCAGTCGATTTGGGGAATTTGTATACAATAATTAATAAGTGATAATTAATAATTATTCATACAGGTTTGGACCAGATCAACTATAAATCTGTGGAAAAGGGATGATATCCCTGCATCTGCATTCACATATGTACCTAGACAATTAACCACAAAGGATTATAATTACATGTTTTACTAACACAGTCTCATCCCAAAAAGTCATATAACTGACGTCTTGGGACGTCTTTTGACCATACGTCAATATCCGCCTTTTTAGGGCCCCCTTAAACGTCGGTAGATGGCGATCCCGGGCCGTCATACAACTAACGCTTTACCTTTAACGTCAGTTAGGTGACGGGTTAGGTTTAGGGTTAGGTTTAGGTATGGGGTAGAGTTAGGATCCCATAATCTCATCTACCGACGTTTAAAGATGAACTGAACTGAAAAAAAATCGACGATGAAAACGTGTTGTTTCTGACAATTAAAAGTAAATTACACTAAACATTTTAATAAAAAATATTGATATAGCTTTTTATAAGCAACGCAAAATTGCGCTTGTTAGCGCTGGCAATTTCGATGACGTCACTGGCATGGTAGGACCCGCGGAGCTCTATAAACAACAGCTGCAGGTCCCATATACACAGACGAAAATGAACACTTTTAACGGCATGGATTACGCATTTGAGCCCGCGAGGGACCGGAGCGGTAGTGTCTGACTACCACCACATGGAGGACGATCAGTTTTAGGCTTCACTTACAGTACAGGATCGTTTGGGGAGAAGTGACTGTGGGCGCGAGCGCTGTGGAGTATGCATACTGCACAGGAGTCGATCTTTTGCAGAGAGGTCAACCTGGAACATTTATTGATCGGCGAAAAAAGGAATCACCGTCGTGCACCGTTCATTTCGGATGCTGTTCGGTGAGAGAAACGTGTTGGAGGAGGCTATGCTGTCTCTAATGGATGTCCGAGCTGAGACGCGAGCGCCCCATCAGTAGCAGGGTATTTTACGAATAGGCGACTAGGCGGGGCTAACTTGTTATACTTTTCTCAGACTGTTTAGATTAACAGCGTACTGGCAGTTCATTCTATGTGCGAGGGTGCATTTAGAAAGGAGAATCCCATCCTTTACCGTGAACTATATATCAGGAATCTTTTCCCCTCAGCCGAATATCAAGGATTCGAGTAACGTTAACGTGATGTGTTGAACTTGTAACTTGTGTAAATAAAACATTTAATGCAGACATTGTCAGACGTTTCATGTACTCATTGACGAAAGTACATATCTCTAGATAGTGTGTCGCTAAAAATTCTGTTTCTTCAGCCATGTCAGCGCGCCTCAGACTGTTTACAAGCTACAGCTGTTCTGCTGGTGCGGGTAGGCAGCGGAGTGGCTTACCATGCCAGTGACGTAGTCGAATGTTGAAATCCAACATGGCGGCGCCCGTGTAACAAAAACACTTTCAATGTACCATTTTATCCCTTTAAACAAATTCTGCCATTTTAAAAATTGTACCAATGATAATTAATACAATACATCTGTTATGTCACCTTTTTTCAAATTTCAGTTCAGTTCATCTTTAAGGGGGCCCTAAAAAGGCGAATATTGACGTATGGTCAAAAGACGTCCCAAAACGTCAGTTATATGACGTCTTGGAATGACCCACCCAGCACCAGACGTCATTAAGACGTTGTTTTTTGGGCTAAATCAAGTCGGCCCGTCATAGCCTTCATTTAGCCCAAAAATAGACGTTGAAAATTGGGCTTTGTTTGGTCCGTCCGATTTGGTCCAAATTTAGCCCAAACATAGACGTTGAAAATTGGTCTTTGTTTGGTCCGTCTGATTTGGTCAAAATTTAGCCCGAAAATAGACGTTGAAAACTGGTCTCTATTTGGTCCGTTTGGTTTGGTCCAAATTTAGCCCAAAAGACTTTGAAAAATGTCGCCTCCTTTGTTTGGTCCGTCTGAGGGCAGCGCCAGATCATTTTTAACAGGTGCTGAAGGGGTGCTATCATTGACAGGGGAGCTTCACAATTATATAAAAAGGCTACTTTTAATAAATGAGCAAAACTTAGCCACTCAATATATCATATTCAATTATTGTAATTATCACAATTCAGGTTTTAATTTAAATTAAAATAAGCACAACATTCAACATTCAATCAAATATTCTTATGTAGCCTATTAATAATAATGTAATTTCCACACAATATCTTGTTATTTCGACATAATATGTGTGCGTGCAACAAGCAAGATGTGCATTTGTAAATCCGGTGACACGCGTGCATTGATTTTTATTGCATTTTATTTTTATTAATAAACTGTTTTCTGTGTCCGCTGCAAAAGATGAAGTTGAAGATCTCCATCTCCGCAGCGAACGCGCCTTGAGAGAGAAATGCACAAAATGATTACATAATCAGAGAGTACCTATTTCTTTTCGTTTTGAATTGTTTTGTTTAAAGATATTTCCAGCTCTCTATAGATATGTCTCATGTCTTTGAGACATGCTGAGTTGTGGTAAGTTGAAAGGTATTTTTTGTGCATAGTAAAACATATCTGCAACATTTATCAAGTTCACGGATAATTGTGCGTGCATTTATTAATCGTTATGATAGGCCTAAAATCATAATAAAGGCTGTGTACAAAAAATCAGATGAGCCCAGAATATGAATGCAACGCGTTTAATTAGCCTACACATTAAGCATTTTCCTCCAAACCAGAACGCTTGGCCTGCGGACTTGAATGTATTTAAAAAATACATAGAATAGTTTATAATTGTTCCTCATGTTTCATCTGTAATCTGTGTAGGCTATATGAGGAAATATGTGCATGCCTTATGTAGGTTTTAATCAATGTTTTTGCAAAAAAAAACAAAAAAAAAAAAACAATCTACAGCACGTTTACCATTTTTTAAAGCTATATTATATTATTAGACTATTAGCCTACATGACTTAAAACATTGTTTTATAGTTTGACGATGGCCACAGGCCTACTATCCACTTAATAATGCATCAAGTTTCAGCTGATTGTCAAATAATTCACTCCATCTCAATGCTGCGTAACTCTGCGTGTTTTAATCAATGGGCGCACGCGCTGAACATTCGAGCCGCATTTGAACTGGAGCAGACAACGTTACCATGGAAACCGGGCGGTAGCTCAACTGACAACGATCAGCACAGCTCCATCTCTCGCTGTTGTTTTCACTACTTTCAGGTAAGTTTAGTCCCTAAAATTACACAAATAGTACATAAAAATGTTTCCGACAATTTCTTTTATGTAAAAGACTCACTTCCGTTGAATATTTGCTTGGTTAGTGTCTTAGAAAAAGTCCGTTAGCATCTCAACTGTTAGGCTAACTATAGGTAAGTTAGGTTAACTATAACGTTAGACTTGAGCAGTAAGTTTGGGCTTTTAATCGTATCTTACTGTATGTGTAGATTAGATATTTATTTTGATAGTTTTGTAAAGGTTTTGTTGGCAATTGGTCAATGGATGAATGGAATTAAGCTAGCTAATCGTCAAAACAGTGTTATTAATACAGTTTATTGATGACGTATTCTTTGTACAGGTAATGAACACACAGAACAAATTATTTATAACGTAATAATATTGGTGTCTTTCTCTTTTCAGTATTGTTAGCTCCAACCCCAATTATTTATAATGTAACTTAATAATATCAGTTGTCTTCTTTCTCTTTTCAGTATTGTTAGCTCCAACCCCAATTAATCAGACCTGAGCAGCTGACTAAACATCACCAGAAACTCTGCAGAACACTGGCCCTGGTCTGGTCTGGATGCCACTGTTGTAAGTCATCAATCTAGCAGTCATCCTGCATCTCTGATGTGTCATGTTCAGAACAAAGTTTTCCTCTAACCTAGTCCAGCACACCTGAACAAGCTAATCAAGGTGTTAAACTCTGGGTGCTTATCACTCAGGTCCCTAGCTCAGTAGTCAGTGGTTAAAGGGATTGTTCATTTTTTAAATACATTTTTGGTATGTTTTAGCTTATCTCGAGGGCATCCAAGATGTAGCCTAGGTGTCTTTGTTTCCACAGTATTTTCAATTTCGATTTTTTTAGGTCAAACCGTTCTTGTCGGTCAGGCATATAATGCAGGTCTCTGGTCACCACCTCAAAGAGCATGCACAGAGAAGTCCAAATTAAACATGATTTAATGACTCGTAAATTAAGTACACATTGATGGCTTAAAGACACGAAACGAGCGGTTTGTGTGAGAAAATGAACAGTATTTATATCGTTTTTATCTGTAACCACAGCCACGTCCAAGTGATCTGAGGGCGTGGGCTCTTCGGTCTGCGAAAGTGTCGGGAAAGTGCCGGAAGTGATCTCTCTCGCACGTGTACGTCACTCATTGTTTACACAGAACAGAGATTGTAGGTAAGACGGCTAATTGAAATGGTACTTATTCAACGTTGTCTGTTGATATATCGAAATCGTCTTCCATTGCGATTTCCTCTATATCTAAATAGATCTTCACAGTGAAAGGTAACACTTCCGAAATCTCTGTGTAAACAATTAGAGATCACTTTCGGCGCTTTCCGGCGCTTGCGCAGACCGAAGAGCCTGCGCCTTCACATCACTTGGACGTGGCTGTGGTTACAAGAGGTAAAAATGATATAAATACTGTTCGTTTTCTCACAATCTGCTCGTTTCGTGTCTTAGGCCATCAATGTGTACATATACGAGTCATTAAATCATGTTTAATTTGGACTTCTCTGTGCATGCTCTATTAGGTGGTGACCATAGACCTGCAACTAAAAATGACCTAAAAATATAAAAATTGAAACTACTGCGGAAACAAAGACACCTACATCTTGGATGCACTTGAGGTAGGCTAAAACATACCAAAAATTAATTTCAAAGTGAACTACCCTGATTACTAGAACTAGATGATTTTAAAACAAAAACCAATATTATATTTCAGCATAAACATGTAATGTCTGATCAAGCAAACATTTACAATTTATCTGTGACTGAAATCTTGCACGTATATGTATAGGAAAAACTCAAGTGTATACTTTACGTTTCGGACAGCCATTGTTTTTTTTGTTTTTTTAAATGTACATTTTGGTTATTGTTTTCTTTCTCACCAGGCTAAAGCATTTCAAGTAAAAACTTAAGTCGTGGCTTAATAATCCGGGGTTGGGATGGTGGAAGGAGCAGAAGAACCAGAAGATCGGAGATCAGGAAGATATCTGTTGGTGCCTCTGAGGGAACTGATTTAATGTGTAGAATTTAACCAAAAATGTTCGTCACTCACCTTCATGTCGTTGCAAACCTGTAAGACTTTCGTTCATCTTTGAAAGATATTTTTAATGAAATCTGAGAGGTTTCTGTCCCTCAATTTCACAGTTTATGCAACTACCACTTTCAAGCTTCAGAAACGTAAGACATTATAAAAATAATCAATAGAGGGTTTGCACCCACGTCACGATTTGGCCAGTTACCCGGATGCGCGGCTATATTCGAGATACTCGGATGTAAACAACAGCATTGATTGCACTGTTTATGTACTACTGAACACATTGTTACACTAATTTATGATGTCTTAACTACGAAAAAAACACATGGAAGCTGCAAAATCATATAGGCTAGACTTAGTAAGCAGGAAAGAGCGTGGATTTTTGACGAACTAAAGTTAATATCTGGTAAAGATCTGAACGAGCTAGTTTCTCTAGCCCTTACTGCTATTCATCCTTCTATTTCTTATCCCACATAGGCTACGTTCAGATTGTCAGTCCAAAAAAAGCACATGAAATCCGTTTCAAGCTACATCCATATGTCCACAATCCTATTAAATCACATATCTGGAAATCTGCTTCAGTCCGAACGCTCTGATCAGATTTCGCGTGGTATGTGACTTTCTCACGCCACGCAAATTTTAAAGTCAGACATTGTAATAGGGAACATGCTAAAAGTCGCTGCCGAAACAAGGCTGTGTTGTTGCAAAGTGCCGGACAAGCGCTTTATATTTGAAACCGGCGCAGATACGAGCACGGAAAAAAGCTGTGCACACCAGCCTCCTCTAGTTCTGCAGCTCAAAACACCAGTCCAGCACGGCGGCTACACATTTCCATGTTGTAAAATTTAAATAAGACAACATCTCTATTGCAAATGCAAACCCCTCCATCAACGCAATGTCATTGCCATATTTCCAAAGAGCTGCATGAACACACGACTCGGATCTGAACAGTTGCGATACATAGTGTAGACATCATTTTAGATCAGATCCCAATCGGATACAAAGATACATCAGATTTGGACTGACCGTGTGAATGTAGCCATAGTTAACTACTTTACTTTAACATTTTAGCCATAGTCAACGCTTCATTTACACATGTGGCTGATGCTTTGCCTCTCAACTACAAACACCTTCATCACAAACACTTTCTTTCATCCATTTTTTGCACTCTTCTCTTTAACTTTAGGCAGTCTATAGAACTTGAAATGTTTTTTTTCCCGGTGTGACCTATTAGTACAGACCAAAACACGACCATTTTTCAGCAGCAATAATCAGCCAAATATGCAAGTCTGTTCAGTTCAGTGGCATTGTTTACGTTCAGTGCCTCCAAAATGACCGACTTCCGGATTGATGACGTGTAGTGAAAACACTCTATTAAAATCGTACGGATTAATTAATGAACCACTTGTTTTAAAATCATCCCGTTCTACTGACATTTGTTATGACATCCGTTTCAAACATTACAATGCTCATGATAACTTTCTCTCCAATGGTTTAACCTCAACATTATGAAGCGATGTGAATGCTGAACACGTGTTCACAGAGCACCACGATTCATCAGTGTTGTGTTGGCGTGAGAGTCAGTCATCTCATGGTGCAACCTGTATCGGCGATACATAATTTTGTTTTGTTTTTTGCACACACAAGGCATCTGTTAAAAATATATTCAAAAGTCTTATGGGTTTGGAGCGACATGAGAGTAAGTAATTAATGACAATTACATTTTTGTGTAAACTATACCTTTAATGTTTTCTAATGTGGTTATAATTAGTCTGTTTTATAAACATTTTCAATGTTTTAAAGATTTATTGTTTTGATGTTTATCAATAAATGATAAAATGATGTTTATACAGAAAAGATGGATTCATTTGATCAAGTCACAGTTAAAGTCTTTTAAATTGTTTTTGAAAAATTGTTTCAAATAAATGCTGCTCTTTTGAAAGTTATTTTCAAAGAATACTGAAAGCTGAATCATTTTCCAAAAAAAAACATGAAGCAGTACTACTGATAATAATCATAAATGTTTCTTGAGAATCAAATCACCATATTAGAATGATTTCTGAATGATCTTGTGGCACTGAAGACTGAAGTAATGATGCTGAAAATTCAGCTTGGCCATCACAGGAATAAATGACACTTTATTATATATTTATATGTATATTTATTTATAAATTTATAGAGAAGTTATTTTTATTGTGGTAATATTTCACAATATTGCAGTGTTTAGGCTATATTTGATCAAATGTGGGCTTGATGTGTGATCAGGGAAGTTTTTACTTGAAAGATGTATTTTATGTGTCAATAAATGTTTTGATAAACTTTTGTGAATTGTCTTATTTTGACAGTAATTAGGAATATTAAATATAATCATGAATCCATGAAAATTATGCCTAAAAAAAGACGTCTTTTCAACTTTCACTTTACAACCTAATTTAAACGTGAATGGGACGTCCTTTTATAGACTACAACTACCAGAAAAAGACGTCTTTTCAACGACCCGAAAAAGACGTCTTTTCAACGACCTGAAAAAGACGGCTTTTCACCTTTCACTTTTCAACCAAATTTTAACGTAGTTTAGACGTCTAGCAATGTCGTCTTTTCAACGTCTTTTCAACGAGTTTTTGCTGGGTGGGTGAGACCGGGTTGGTTTTACAGACAGGTTCAAATTAGCTCAATGTATATCAATACTCAATCAAAACGGATTATAATTAAATATTGATATACTGTATCAATTAGGTCTATCATACGTTTACTGTGCCAATAGTCCCTTTGGAATTGTGATCTGATGATCTGTTGTCCAGCAAGCTGATCATGCGATCTTTATCAATTCTCATACAGAAATAATAAGGGAGAGAGAGAGAGAGAGAAGAAGAAGAAGAAGATCTGTTTGGATTAGTTTGGCAAAATTCACCAGTTTAAACCTTTAAGACAACATGGAAAAACAAAATCTTTATGCTCTGAAAGCTTGATAAAGAAAAATACTTGCAAGTGTACATGGTTCTCTTTGTGTTGCTGAATAAGGCTGCGCTTGTTGAGTGGCCTCGTGTTATGTGTGTGTCCCGCTGGAGCGTCACATCACATTTTCTGATGGTCCAGAGCGTGGACTTTCAAAGAAGATTTAAAGGTGTTTGACGTGAATTACCAAAGAAACAATTCAGGCCCAATATCCCAACTCAGAATTCAGAACTATCCCTTTAATCTGTGGTTAACCCAGACACTAGCCATATTTCATCATGTACAACAAAAGCTAGTCTTTTGTTTTTTCCCTTGGAATTATTTTTTTTATGTTGTTTTTGTATAAAAATATCTATTTTGAAACACTGTTGTTGCACCTCTGCCCTATATGGCTGCTTTTTACTGTAAAGGGTTTAGTCACCACCCAGCATCTGTTCTTGTATATTCTCTGAGCACAGGGATAGCAACCGAAGTGAACTTTCTTTTGCAAATAAGCCTCCCACTTTCATTAAATCATTCACAATACCACTCTGTTTTGGTTCAGACAAAAAGGTATGTGTGAGAGGTTTGGCCGAGGGAGTTGGCAGAGTGAGCGACAGTAAAAGAGAAAACATGAAGAAAAGGGACAAAATAAACAGTGTTCCTGAGTGAGCGTGTGCGCATAAGTTCGGTCTTTTTGAATCCAACTCTTTGCCACACACATAATCCCGCTATAATTTAAATCACACTCCTGCACAAAAACCACTGCGGTTTCAAAGAAAGGCAGCTTTTAAATGTTTGTGGATAGTGACTGGCAGAAGGTAAAAGAAATAGACAGAGAACAAAAGCAGAGGAGGAAACAAGTTCACAGCAGTATTGAGACATTGGATCAGTTGTTATAAAAGCCCTGGCCAGGAAAGAGGGAAGGTTTTTTTGTGTGCCAGGACTGGATTGTAGACAATGGTGCGGATAGATGGAAGTGCTAGAGGGAGGAGGTGAGGGAAATAGAGGCAGTAGGGAAGACAAAGCTGGATGTAATGATGTAGCTTTCAATTACCCACCTATTTCACCTGAGTGCCTCAAAGGGCAACCACTGCACAACCAGCATACAGACACACACACCACACACACACACACTCTCTTCCCCTGCGCTGCATCCCTAAAACTACCCACAGGAAATTTTTATTGCTCAAAGGTTGCTGTTTTATAGCTCAGGGACATGGCATCAGTTAAGTGTCTTTTAAGTATCTCGGATTTCCCCCGAGTCCTTAGGATAAATAAAAACGGATGCAAAAAAGAAAATTGTTGACTTAGAACTACAATATACTATATTGTTAATTGTGAATAGCATATGAAATGTAACGACACACCAATGGCGTTCATGAAGGTGTGGGAGTTTTTTATTTTTTATTGAACAAACAGAGGAGCTGGAATTGAATACACAGGTAAGAATGAAGACTTACAAAAACGGGACGTCTTTCAAAAACGGGACGATACAGGAAAAAAAATCTGCAATTTTTCTCAAATAAATCATGTTGTCACAGGCATAAATTCTGGGGTAGGCAATGTCTGTTGTATCCTTCATTGCCCGGGAAACGGAGGACGCATTTCGAGGCTACATTTGAAGGTAAAAAGGGACAGGCTTTATATTATTGCGCCGCTGTGACGCATTCGGCCTTCAAATGTGGCCTTCAAAGGATGCAGCCTCTGAATTGGGACGCAGGTTGTGAGTGAGAGTGAGCCAGGCAGAGAGTCCAATATGTGCATGTGACAGGAAGTTTTTGATAAGACATTTTTTAATATTGAAACTTTTTGACTACTTTTTATTGCAGATTGTTGTTTCTTGGGAATCTTGTTGTTTGGAACATTCTTGAAATCTATTGTGAAACACTTACAAGGTTATTAGGATCTTTCTGTCAGGACAAAAGCAGGAGACAAGTACATAATTCTCTTTCTTATAGTTGATTCCGAATGTTAGATTCTTGACTCTCTCATCCTCTTCTTGTGCACTTCTGCTCTCTCACAATTTCTTGGCTGTTATTTCTTGCTTTAGCCTTGTTGTGCACCCTTTAAAGTGGCAATGTCATTGAAGTACCAATTGAAGTAATTGAAGAAGGCCTGTCTAATTCACTGTATGAGTCATTTGAACTTTAAAAGTTGAACATTGATTAACATTTTTTTTTGTTTGAAATTGGTTAAATTGTTTTAATTGGTTAATGAATATGACATATGTTGCCATGACATATTGATTATACTGTAGGAATTTTAACAGTTTGTGAAACAAGCTAGTGTCACTGTTTATGTGTGCGTATATGAGAGTGGAAATGCTTTCCAATGGGTCTTTCCTCTGCCAGGTCCCGCTGTTTGCGAATGGCTCTGACATCAGATTAGAAGCCCTTTATGCAGTGACGCTGAATTAAGCATGGCGTGTGCGCCAGCAGCAATCTGCACATTGCTCCTAACATTCCATAAGCATCTAATTAGTCATGCTGTGCGAGTCACTCGTTTACATATCACACACACACAAGCAGAGATGCATAGAGCGAACTGGATTAACACACACACAGAGCTATCTGAGTGAGTGATGTATCACTGCCTTCGTCATGCGCTCCTAAAGCAGCTGGCAGTGCGGAGATCATTGTCCTACTCCCTCACTTCCTGTGCATCCAATCATATGCCAATCAAACACACCACACAGCTCTCAACAGATGATTTGGCTCATATTTCTAATTTCCTGTAGCGTCTGAGACCATCTATTCTGTTAAGTGCTCGGAGACCAAAGGCCCTTCTCATTACAAGTGAAATTGAGGCAGATTGCATCAACATCTCAAGTACCACATGACTAATGTTAAGAAACCAGTCCATGAAACAGATCAGTTCCTTTTGATGTAATATCTTATGAAAAGCTAATGAACCCCTATCCTACCCACTGGTCTGAGGTCCGGTGAGGATGCTCCAGGTCTGTGCATTATGATTATTCTCTTACAATAAAAAAACTCCAACAATTATGTTATGTTATAGCTATAGCTATAGTAAGGGTAAATTATGCAGCCTTTTTTAAGGCTCAAGAAGTTTAATGATTGTCAACAGCACCTTAAAATATAATAATGGGGTTGCTGTTATTGACCAATGGCGTAAAGACGTGACTTTGGGGGCGCCTGCAGAAACTTTTTAAAAACACTATCAGGGTGTTCTCAACCGACATGGTGCATACAAATTTTTATATAATAGAGCTTTTTTGATCTTATTAAGAGCTGATATGCGTCCAAAAGCCAGAAATATGGACAACCAGACTGTAACGGTCACCGTATAGATCTGCACTACATTTCCCAGCATCCACATCATTCACCACTCAACGATCACTCTCTCCAGAATACTAATCACCTGCACCTGTTCACAATCAGAAAGTCTCATCAAACCCTGCATTAAAACACCCAGTTCACTCTCAGTCATGGTCAAGCCTCCAATAGGAACAGACCATAACCCGTCTCCAAGAAACCCTCTGATTCATCCAGCACCAGTAAAGTAACGTATACTCACCTGAAATTACTAACCTCTCTGTCCATGTCCTGATGTTCCCAGACTCCGCTCCATGATCCATCTTTCCTGAGTCCGTGTTCTCTCCCTGAGTCTTGTTTGCTGACGGATGTATCTGAAAGAGGAAAAGACAAGTATCATTGGACTATGTTAGTTTGATGTTGATTACACTGAAGA